GGTGGGTAGATAAAGAGGGCAGGGGTTAGAGTTCAGAAATAGCGTATTGGCTGAAAACACCAAATGTATTTTCCACACAGTGTCGAGTTTTGCCTGACAGGAGGTATTTTAAGGTCAGCCCTCTGAGGTCGCACAGAGAACAATTAGACCACAGCCTGAAGGACATTGCATGTTGGAAAGGGCAACAAACCTTGGTTAAATAAATAGCACAATGGAATCTAGCTTTCTGGGTTTTCTTACTCGACTGTCATGTCTTTCTTCTCCTCCCCCATATGAAGCTTCATTCTAAGGCCCTGCAAAGCTTGATCTTTCCTCACAATAATTAATTCCTCAACACTGTTATAGCTGAAAAGTGCAATGGGATATAGACAGGGACACAAATCCCACAGTGGGGACTGTGGCTCGAGCCTCCATAATCCAAGCTTTCATGGGTTAAGGCTCAAATGGTAGCTGACAGCATTGGCCTCAGCCCAACTACATGCTGTGCTGAGTGTTAATTTAGTAAGAAGAAGTTTGGGTGAGTTTAATTAAGCCTCTTGCCAAGATAAGTCAATGTGTTGAAAGTAAGTAATGCACAATAATGCTGTATGGTGTGTATTAATAAAGGGAAGTTAAATATTCCCCTTCAAAGTGTGACTAGAATGTCACATCGATGGATTTCTGGGATTGCCTCGCTGTTGGACAATAGTAACATAATGCCCTTTTTTCCCCTCAATAGGCTTTTACCATCATGGATCAGAACAGAGATGGCTTTATTGACAAAGCAGACTTGAGAGATACATTTGCAGCACTAGGTAAAATAAATAAATAACCAAAAGGCATCTAAATGCAATTTCAAGCACATAGGGGAGGATTATATTAAAATTAGAGCTGGGTGAATCGTAAGATATGCATGATCCTAGGACAGCCAAAGGGGAAAACTGCCAAACCTGCTCATTTTGATCCTCCTTAGCTGCTCTCTTGGCTATTTCCCTCTAGCTTGGAAGTACTGAGCAGCCTTCATTGAGAAGCAAGAGAGGGCCGTTGTGGGGCTTCATTAGTGGGTGTTATGGACTGGTTCAGCTAGCATCCTCTCCAAAGGGACTGATCTTTCCCTTCAGCCCACCCAAGTAGAAGTCTGTGCCAGGCATGTCTGATTCGTATTTGTCTCTGCGTTTCCCAAGCAGCACCTTTTTCATCTAGGAGTCATGTCATATCTACCGATTAATGTTCCTGTCATGGACCATCTGCCAGCCCTCCCACACCAAAGTGGGAGCTTCATGTGAGGGTTCATGCCTCCATGCTCTGAGCCAGGCTGGAATGTGCATGTCATGAGGTTAAGAAAGGCCCCTTCCATGCTGTAAGTAGCAGCACGTCAGAAGCCCTACAGCATTGGGCAGTAGAAATATGATTTTCCCAGGCAACAAAAGGGCAGAACGCTCAAACCTGGAGCCCTTCTCAGTTGCAGTGTTGGAGACTTCAGCAGAAGTGTAGGTGCTTGGACTGTGGCCATTGGCATCTCCTAAACAGGAGTGTGATAACAATGTTTAGTATTCCCTGAGGTGGAATCAGACTGCAGAAGGGTCTATACAAAGAGCAGCAACTCCCTAGATCCTCATAATGACAATGAGGTTTGGAAATGTTGACCTTTGCCTATTGTTAGCCTGAAATATTTCTTTCTTAGGGTCAAATTCTGATCTCCTTATTGATGCAGAAAGAACCTCCCCGTCTCCCCCAAAATTGATGAGAATGGGCATATAGGAAGGGTCCTTATAATCTGACCACTAGTCAATAGCCCGCAGAATGGAGAGGAACAGCCAGGGTTATCATGGGCATTTTGCCATTCTTGGTGTAAAATGAAAACTGTCTCAGTCTGGGTAATATTGCAAAAAGCTCAAGGGTGAAATCCTGGCCCCTCTGCAATTAATAGGAGCTTGAGCATTGATTTAAATGGGACCAGTGTTTCATCTGAGTTGAAAATGTGTCTACTGAAATGACCCCATTTTGGCCACCAGTGGCTTTGTATTTTTCCCTCCAATTCCTTTAATCCTGTACCCAACTCTCTCTGGTTTAGGAACCTCACCCTGTCTTTTCAAGTTGTGTCTTGCCATGTTATTTACAATGTTGCACTGAACCCTGAGGACCACAGTGGGAGGACCTGAGTGGGAATGACAGTTTGAAAGAAATGTGTTATGACAATCTCTGCTACTGCAGGTCGCTTGAATGTCAAGAATGAAGAGCTAGAAGATATGGTGAAGGAGGCACCAGGCCCCATTAACTTCACTGTCTTCCTTACCATGTTTGGTGAAAAACTGAAAGGTGAGTTCTTTGGGGCGTTTGGAAGATATCTAGCAATAAATCTCATGACTGCAATATTTCATCAGCTTGCAATCATTAATTAACCAATCCTTAGAACACCCCTATGAGACAGGGAGGAATTTTCTCCATGTCTGCAGACCTGGAACTGAGCCACAGAGATGTTAAGGGTAAGTCTGCACTAGGGGTAGACAACCCCCCGGCATGCATGCCAGAGTGTGGCATGCAAAGGCATTTTGCTTGACATGCATAGGGCAGACAGCAGGAGAGCCAGGCAGGGCCTGATCCTTGTTGTGGCAGTGCAGCCCCATCTCCTTCCCTGCTGTGTTCTTGAGCCGTGTGTACACCTGTTGCTGGCAATGTGCTGGGTTGGAGCTCTGTGGTGCCCCAGTGTAGCCGCTTGCAGCCTCCCTGATGCCTGCTATGAGCAGCCTGGGCTCCATGGCAGATGGCAGAGGCCTGCCCAGAGCCTGGGCTGTCTGTGGCAGGCAGCTGGGAGAACGTAAGTGGCTACGCCAGGGTCCGCAGAGACCCAGCCCAGTTTGTTGCTGTCAGTGGGTGCACATGTACCTCAGGGCAGACAGCAAGGAAGGGGCCAGGGCTGCACTTCCACAACAAGGATCAGGCCCCTCATAGCTCCCTCACCATCCACCCCGGCACTCCAACATCTTACAAGTCGAGGTTGACAGTCTGCCCAAAAACGTTGCCGATCCTTGGTCTACACTGTAATCCACAGGTATGACTTTAGCTCCCATTGGTGTACCTATTATCGATTTAAATTCACTAGCTTGACACTTGATATCAGTGGGTCCATGGCAGCAAGGAACTCAGTGCAGCCTGGGTATTTCTCCAGGGTCCTGGGCAAGTTTTGCAGCCCATGCTAACCTCCAGCTAGCGGGTTTAAAGCTACCTCAGGCATGCCTACATGAGGTACAATTACACCTCTGGATTGCAGGGTAGACAAAGGCTATGCAACTTATCTTATGTGACACAGTGAGTCTGTGGTAGAGCTAAAAACTGAATGCCAGAATGTCTTAGCTATGTGACCATGCTTCATTTTCTCTGTGGCTTAATGACCAGTAACCAAGCCTTAGGCTGACTGACATCACTGGAAGGTTTGCCACTGACTTCCTCGGAACAAAGACTTGGTTCAGCCATAGGTTTCTAATTGGAAGTCAGAAATGTAGTTTTGTCTCCTACATTGTATTGTATGCAGAAGAGAGCCTATGGCAAAGATGCATTCCTAGGTGTCTCCCCAAGAGAAAGTATTGCCCTTTAGATCCAAATAATTCTGTTTGTTCTCTCCCTCCTATCCCACCATCCAAGCGCCTTCTAGAAAAGATTGTGGCTGTATGAGCACTTATTCATTCTCTGTCTCCTTCTTTTCCTGTGCACAGAAAAATTATATGGGGATTTTTAAAAAGTCATATTTTATGTTTATTTTAAAACTGATGTATTAATGAGTTTTTATTAGTGAAGAGAACCTCAAAGAAGGGCTTCTTGTACTTGGAATACAAAGTGGTGAAGTCTAAGATTGGCAGTTAGGAAAACTAGTAATATCTGTTAAGATAGCATCTATCTATCTATCTATCTGCAAACAATCTCAAAAACATGTCGTGCTTGAAAAATTGGTAAGTATTACTTGGAGAGAAAGAAGGATGAATGAGGCAGTAGCGTAAGAGTCAGGGGATATCTGTCTGCCTATTGTATCTGTCAAAGTGGTACCTTCATATTTGCCACTCTTGGTGCCATTTTGCACTCTCCTGTGTTGGCAAGACCTTAGAAGGTAAAACTCAGCCTCATTCATAGTGTTTTTTCTGGGGCACACTGGGTATTTTGATTCATCCTTCTGGAGTGCACTAGTGTGCCGGCGCTGCCCATTCATGATGTCTGTGATCACACAGA